AAATGAATAATTTATTAATTTATCGGTAAATGAATATTTATTAATTTATAGATACTTTATACATTTATAACTTGTATTATATTTTCTTATAATATATGTAGGCACACAAAAAGGCATACACATACATACATCAAAGATGAAACATTAATGTACATGGCTTCAAAATTTAATATCTTGAAATATTATATTAATCTTTCAAGTTATTTCATGTACACATGGAATAAAATTTCTACAATAATTAGTTTTAACTTAAGACCCCCAATCATTCCAAATTTCATACCTTTTTCTACTATGACGCTTCATTTGAAATGAGTTAAAAAATCTGCAACATTCAGTCAAATGAAGATATTAATGTTGAACCAAAAATTAGTGAAGATGAAGGAATCAATGGATTGTGTGTAGCTATTTTTGGTCTACGCTATAGAAATGTGATGAATGTCAACTGTCGAGCACCTTTTAAACTATTTTAGTAAAAATGATGTGGCGATGAAATCTCATACTAAAGAAGATATTATTCAGAGGGTACTCAATACACCTATCAATGATCATGATCTAGATGATAATTGTGTTTTACCAATCGTTTTTTCAAAAGAGGCATTCAAAAAGTAGTAATCTTAAATAATTAATTTGTACAAAATGAAAAAAATATGCCAAATGTAGTATGTGCATTGCAAAAAATTAAGAATAAAATTAAGTTTGATTTGCGTACAAAGAAAAAACAAAAAACTTTAGATGCATATTTTGAAAAAGAGACAAATTGAAGAAAATATTGTCAAATTAAGTTTATTAATTTATATTAGTATGAACTTTTATAAATTTAAACATTTATTATTTTATATATTCGTTGTGCTTTTAAGGATCTCAAAAAAAAAAAAAAAATTATTATCTTATGCATTTAACTAGGGGTGGGAGCGGATCGGGTCGGTTCGGTTCCAGAAATTTTCGGGTATTTAGTAAATGGAATCGTCGATTCCAAATATAATTTTGGAACCGTTCGGGTTCGGTTCCGTTCCGTTCTGTTCCGTACTATAATTAAATTTTTTAACATTTAGAATAATACTACATAAATACACTAGATACTAATATTAATAACAAAAAGTAGATACAAATACCAAGTTCAATCTTAACTTTTACAAATTAACGTAATCTAATTTAATAACATATAAATATTAAATTGTCAAATACAAATACCAAAAAGTAAATATTACTAGTAAA